GGGTCTGGAATTTAGAATAGGCATACTCTCTTCAGGTTGTTTACAATCATGACTTTCCATAGCTTCTTTTTCTTTATTATCTGTAAAATACCATGACATCTTTGGAAGAATTGTGCAATGGTTCCCTGTTGCCTTCTCCAGTTTGGACTTCAGAGTTTTCCTTCTTAGATTGGTTGTCAACCAAGGTTAGAGAGCTCATTTTACCCTACTAATTAACCCATAGCTGAATGGAGACAAGATGTATTCATGCTTTTTCCAAGGGCAATAGGGAGGCAGGAATTTGAACACAGATCCTTGATTCCACTTTCAGCACCTGATATGTCACACTACCCACACATCCTCAGGATACAATTTTAAAAAAGACAGAAACAAACATTAACGTTGCCACAAATTCAAAAGAAGATTTCATGGAAATGCCAATAAACGAAACTATTTTTCAATTTCTGTTAGAAATTGTGGTACGGCTTCATGATGCTTTTATATTAGCATCTTCATCATTGTTGTTTTTAACTGCATTTTGGCTAATAAACTCTCCAGCCTTCTTCAATTCACAGTTATTGAGGCTTACATGTAAATGCAAGAGATGTATATGCACACTAGTTGGCACACACTTGCATCAGGATCATTATTCTCTCTTCTTATTCCCTTTCTCCACTGATGGTGGTGGTGGTGGAGGAGGTGCTTGTGAAGACTCAGTCTACTCTTGAAGAATCATCAGCAAGAGTCACAGAGGAGTTTGTGTGGTGGACACGGCTGGGTGATAACACATCCAAGACTCTTTTCATTTTGACAATTGGACTCAAAAGTCTTGGTTCCCCACACCCTCGAATGGTCCTAAACCAGGAAGACCAATTTGCAGCAACAGTTTCCTAGAGTCAATGTTGGCCTGTGTCAGGGATGTTTTCAAATGATTCATGAAGTTTCATTTTGGGCCACCACATAACCTCTCCAAACAGGATGTTACGTAGGAGTCAAGAAGGGTGGTTTATGGACAATATGCATGCTAACATCTCAAATATACAAGAAAAAATAGTTTTTAAAAAAATCAGTTACCAAATAGGATAATTATCTTATTAACCTTCCATTAGTCACATGAGGTGTTTTGTTACCCCCAAATTTTAAAAGTATTCCTAATTGTCAACTTGTTTCTTTTGCTCCCTCCAACTACTCTCCTGACTCTCTGGGAGTGTGGAGCATGGTGGGTGGAGCAGTTGTAGCTCAGTTTTTGCGGGAGGCAGATGCTTGGGCACTGTCTATTTTCAGAAATTTGAAGTGACTAACAAAGGGTTAATAATAAAAAAAAAAAAAAAAAAGTGCCCTTCTGTAAGGTTCAAACCTGCATACACTTATGTAGGAAAATCTACTATATAGACCAATGTACTTTTAGATTGATTGGTGATGAAGAACTTTCACATCAAAGTAAGGTTGAAAAACTCTTATGAAGAAAAGTGCATCTCTTGCAAAGATTATTTGAAACCCAATTTTGTTAACTTTATTTTCATATCTGAAGTTTAAACAAAGTCATTTCTAAAGAATTAATAGATATTTTTAATTTATAATCCAACATTATTTTTTATTGCTATATATGTTATATTTGATGGATACATGTCTTTGAATAGGTATCTCTGTTTTGTTTAAGTATAATTTTTACCTACCAGCCTGTAATTAAGGAACTTTTCTCAGCTGGTTAAATAAGTTTTTTTTTGTTTTTTTTTCAAAGTATTTAGATATATAAGAAACAAGCGTATTTATCAAGTGAATTACAACCATATCATATTGAAACACCAGTTCTCATTTGATCACTTAAGTTAAGCATCAATGATTGTTCAGAACTTAGATGAGTGACTGCTTCGGAATACTTGTGCTGTATGCTTGGGTATGTGTGGGTGATGTAATGGATAGCAATGCAAAGAAAATCGACCCTGCCTCAAATGTCTTTTGGAGATCAATCGTTGGGTGTCTCAAGCCAACCAAAGTAGATGACCTCTACTTAGTGGCATTGCTCTTCCTTACATCAGAAGAACAGTCCACTCCCAACTTGAGAAAGTTGAAGCAGGAAACTGACCCTCATCATCCACACTACAGTTGTGAACTAATGACTCAAGTCAAAACACACTTTTCTACATTCATTTGAACCATTGAACAACAGCTCTGAGTGAGTGTCTGTCTCTGTGGTGCAGCCACTTTAAAAACATGAAATCCCTCCCCACTGACTCCAGTGATGCCTGGCTCTTCTGGTCCTGCCTGAATCACCTTCAAATCAAGAATCTTTAACCTTGCATTAGTCACATGAGGTGTTTTGGTACCCCCCAAATTTCAAAAGTACTCATAATTCCTAGTTGGCAACATGTTTCTTTTGCTCCCTCCCACTACTCTCCTGACTCAGGGGGTGGGGCATGCAGTGTGTCACAGTCATAGTTTAGTTGATGTGGAAGGCAGATGTCCAAAGACTATCCATTTTCAAAAATCCAAGATGACTAATGCATTGTTAACAGTAACATTAAATTATTGTACAACCACTACTTTTATGCACTATGTCCATTCAGGATGTGGGCAATCATTTTTCTGCACAACTTTCTACCCTTTATGGGTCTTAGTAAGGTTTCTCTTTTTCCATATCTCTCTCACTCCCATCCTGGGTAAGACGTTAAACTACATCCGCATCCTGGGTAAGACAATAAACACATCCAGCAGCAAGGCCTCTGATCAGGAGGTTTTGACAAGCATGGAACCACCTCTTAATTGCTGGTGATCCCAGGTCCACCCTGACCCAGGGTGGTAGTACCTGTTAGGGTCCCAGCTATGGGCAAATAGCTAACTATTACCAGCAATACTTTTTTGAAAAAAATTATTACCAGCAATACAATTTTGAAGAAAAAAATATTACCAGAAACAGATTTTTCACAAAAGAAAATATTACCAGCAATAAAAAATGTTGTTGGCATTAAATAACCCATTGAGGTTGATATGCCATAAAACGAAATAAACCAAACCCTCTCACTCCCTGTTCTGCCACCCACTTACAGAAGCTTGTTAAGTAGTTCCCTCTGGCCTACTTGCATTGAATATGCCCTCTGAGTGTTAAATTCTCCAAGGCTCCTTTCCTCATTATGTATCACAGAAGGTATAACTGTCTTTCGGATTCTAAGTGCCTTTTCGCTACCATTGTCATTGAAAATCACTCATTGCTCACATGTTCCATCCAGGATATTCTCAGCATCCTTCTGCATAACCATATCTGTTGCTTCAAGTCACCTCTTCATCTGTGAAGAAATTGTTCAGTGTTGAATTTTTTAAAACATTGAAGTTAATGACACTGACACAAGAGGGATTTGATGTATAAATTAATAAAAAAAAAAAAAAAAAAAAAAAAGAGCTTTTTCTAATGCAAAGACTTCTTGTATAGATAAGTACATAAGGATGCCTACAGTCATAAATGCTAGAAACACAGAACTCTTATTCTCTAAAAGTCATAGAAATGTCAAGTAAACAGTGGAATGGCCTTTATTGCTTCAGGCAAATTAGTACATTCAATCAGAAATTTATTAGAAAAGCTTACAAGTGTCAAATGAATAAAATTTCTTTTAAATTCATATACTGTACTGAGTGTAACAGCAAAATTGTCCAAATTGTGTAACAGCATAATTATTCATCCCACAAAATCTTTAATAACTAAAGAAAAAAAAAAAAAAAAAAAAAACACTAGATCGAGTTTCTTTTTTTCCAGGTTTTTCCAGATAAGAAATTTAGCAATCATGACACCATTTTTCATTAGAATCACTGAAAAACACTGAGTTATTCAGCTAAAAAGAACAGGTTAAAATTGTTTTGTGTCACACCCACTGTCTTCCCGAGCAATAGTGAGAGGAAAAAGATCATTGAAGCCTTCAGTAATGGTACCAACATTCATACTCTGGCTTCCATCTTCAAAGTTCATTCAAGAACCATCAAGAGAATGGTGAATAAGTTTAATATATATTATAAATTAACTGATTTAAAATATGGTTTCTTCACTACACAGGAATTACTATATTTCAAAAACCAAATTTAAATTTGAAGTTTTAGCTTCAGTTTTTGAAACATGGTAATTCCTGTGTAGTGAAGAAACCATATTTTAAATCAGTTAATTTATATTTATGCTCTGTAAATTTACATTGAGCACTGTTTTGTAAAAATAAAAATATCAATAAGAAAACTATATATATATATATATATATATATATATATATATGTGTGTGTGTGTGTGAACAGGAGTAGAGGTTTATTCCTTGTTTTCTGTTTAGGATTGAATTTCTGCCAGTTCTTTCTAAAATCTTCACATTCTCTTTCACTTCCAGTAGCTCCTTGCTTTTTAGTGACATTATCACCTTGCTTGGGATGAATGGATTTATATATATATATATATATAAAAAGAAAGAACCGCAAGATATATAATCCGGTGTTCTTATAGATATTTTTTTTTTTACAAAATAGTGCTCAATGTAAATTTACAGAGCATTAATATTATAAATTAATTGATTTAAAATATGTTTTTTTCACTACAGAGTTCTAACCATGTTTCAAAAATGGAAGCTCCAAAATTCGCTTGAGGATGAAATGGAACTAACGTCTTTAATTTAATCACAAAATTAAATTCATGGTTTTTAGCTTCCATTTTTGAAACATGTTTAGAACTGTGTAGTGAAAAAAACCATATTTTAAATCAATTTATATATATATATATATATATATATATATATATATATATATATATATATATATATATATATATATATTTTGTGTGTGTGTAGGCAACAAGCCAGACTACAGAAAAATATCACAATAAAAATAGAAGCGATAGGACTTGTTAGGCATTATTATTTGAAACTTTTGAAAGCTGAAAAGAAGATTCAAATAAAAGTAAAAGTAAGAAACCTGACAGACATTTCTAACCAAGGTTTGTTGTGGAGCTGTTTTCAATCTACACAAAGAGAATCTAATGTTTTGTTGCAGTTACTTACCTCATCAAATAATTGTGTGCTGTCTTTACCAGCACCCCGCATTAACTCGTCAATTCCACCAGGATGGAACTCTAAGTAGGGAGTCAAGTTGTACACTTTACCTGAAACAAAAAAGCAGAGATACGAGTTTTTATATATATATATATATATATATATGCACACACACATAAGTGTGTGTGTGTGTGGAGAAAACCATTTTTAATGACAATGCATTTTACCTCAGAATAGAAAAAAAAAAAAAAAAAAAAAAAACAAAAAAACAAACAAAAAACAAAACAAAAAAAACAAAAAACGTCAACAATCTTCAAAAAGAATAGAAAACAAAAAAAACAAAACTGTGTCTTTTGTATTGAAGCTGTTAATTTCTGTTAGATTGGTACTTACAATTGGAATGAAAGAATAAAACTGTTTTTTTTATTACTATTTCAATGTTTTGAACTGCATCTTTAGTCTCCAGCACTGTGTTGGTGGCCACTGAAACAAATTATTACCAACAATACATTTAAAAAAAAAAAAAAAATTTAACAGCAATGATTACGTATTCTAGTCATACTGATCCTTGTTGGCATTAAATATCCCATTGAAGTTGATATGCTATAGACAAAAATAAAAATAAACCAAACAGAGTAAGGAATCAAGATTACTTTCACATTTGTGAAAATCTCTTAGGAAAAGCATGAATCCATCTTCTTTTCTCCAACTATGGTTTAAATAGCAGGGTAGACTGGTCTCTCTAGCAATAATCGGCAACTAGCCTTGGAGAAAGAATTCTGAATTCAAAAACCACATGTAGCCCTGGTATAGCACATATATGCAACCATCAAGAAGATCATGGAGTTGACAGTGCATTATTTAGCATTACCTATGTCTCTTCAGTACAAAAGCGGTACTGGCTCTTCAGTTTCCATGTCTTTATTAATTCTGAATTGTCATGCATTGTTGGGAAAGAAAGTAGAGTGTTTTTTCTATTGCTTTCTTTAATCAGAGTTGTCCTTCTGTTAGACTGGTTGCCACACAAAGCTAGAGAGATTAGTCTACCCCACTGTGTGAAGAAAGGGATTCAGACCTTTGTAAATGCCGCAGACTATGCCAAGATTTGAACTCATTTTGTCAATTCCATTTTGCATGCCAATGTTGTCAAACTACCTGCACATCCTATAGAATAACACTATGAATAAAACATGAAATACAAACAACGTCATATGCTTTTGACAACAAGGGACGTATCAATAAAAATGCTAGATATTTTTAATGGGTTAATTTTAACAGGTCTTGCTGGGCAGAAGAAATCCACTTACCTTCAAAGAGGTTGAGGGTCACAGCATCTGTCGATGCCATTGGCGCCATGATACAAAGAAAAGCCACAGCAGACTCAATCTGTCATTTATAACAGAAAACGGTTGATGGAATAACCTAGATGAGATGCCTACGAATTTGCATACTTGCCCTCAAATGCATATAAAGTCAGTGAACAACTGGGGAGGCAAAGAAAGCAGATTGTGGGAAAAGTGAATTTGTAGCTAATTGGATTTACAGCTGTGTGAATTTGTGACAGTTCATTTTATTTTCACCACGCTTTTTAATACTGCTGCTCATCAGAAGCACCTGATGAGGAAACAGGTAGCAATATTCAAATCAAACTTAGCTGATAGTCTTACAAGAACAAGCATTTTGTTTTTTAAAAATCAATAATTTTTGCAATTGTCTGGTGAATATTAATAAATTATTAAAATAGAAAAATAAGAGAATCCTAAAATTAATTAACTTGAATTTTATCTTCACAGGAAAACACTCTTCTACAGCAATTCATTTTTGATAAGGTTTTTTTTTTTTTTTTTGGTTTTTTTTAATCAATTCACCCCAAACAAGGCAATAATACCACTACTGGGAGTGAAAGAATGAAAAGACATTTGAAGGAATTGGAACCCAATTCTAAACAGGAAGCAAGGGATAAACCTCTTCTGTTCAAAACAGGAGGAGTGTGAATTGGATGATAGGCAAACATATCTACTACTACTATTACAATCGAAGCTGTAACAGTAGATATAATAGTCTTAAGAAGTTTGAAGTTCTTAGATGAAGTATTGTTATTACTTTTTAACTCATTTAGTTTTTTTTTCTTTTTTTTTTATTGATTGATTGGTTTTCTACAACTCATCCACCCATTGCGAGTTATTTGAAGCCAGAAAATATTTTTAGATGTAAGAATTTCCAAGTGAGATAGTGCATACTCACTTTGTCCTAATGACATTGAGAAAAGGGCATGAATAGGATTAAATAATACAAGAGACATTGAGAAAAGTTTCTGATTAAAAAGTATTCAGAGTTACCGTAAATTGTGGTGTACAACTCGACCTCAAGATTAGGTCGACCTCTAAACATATGGTAGGCTAGCAGTAGCCCAAAATTTAGGCCTACCAGCAAATGAAGTTAGGCTACAGTATATGATAACATGAAAATTTATAAAATACCATATGTATGATTGGCTTGGTTTGGTTTATTTTGTTTTATGACATATCGACCTCAATGGGTTATTTAATGCCGACAACATTTTTTATTGCTGGTAATATTTTCTTTTGTCAAAAATCTGTTTCTGGTAATATTTTTTTCTTCAAAATTGTATTGCTGGTAATAGTTAACTATTTGCCCATAGCTGGGACCCTAACAGGTACTACCACCCAGGGTGGACCTGGAAACACCAGCAATTAAGAGGTGGTTCCACGCTCCTCAAAACCTCCTGATGCTGCTGGATGTGGTTTATTGTCTTACCCAGGATGCGGATGTAGTTTAACGTCTAATCCAGGATGATCCATATGTATGAGTTATCATAATGTTTTTAAAATTATGCAGTATCTAAGAGATAAGGTTTTAATTATCAATGCAATATGGTAATTTTCAAGTAACCTTTAAAATAATGTACCATAATTAAAAAGTAATTATGCTTTTATGGTATGTGTATATTCAATAAAGTATTATGTGTTATTAAACTGTCATTATTATCATGAAATCACACAGATGACAAGCATATCATAGCTAGTTGTCTGAATGGCTGCCCAAGTTAAACAGGGCTTTGGTCAGGATTTACAATTAGTGTATCAGTTGGTGGATACAATGCCTGCTATAGTATTAGTAAAATACTGAATTTGTGTTAGTGTTTTATACTAATTTCTGTGTTAATATGCCAAATATGTACATCAAACACAAGTTTTAGTGAGATATATTTATGGCAGCCTGATAGAGATACAGTAAGTGGTGTATAGTAAATATTAGGAATGCTGTGCCACTTGTTTGCAACTTGATGGTAAAGGTTTGCATTTTATATCTGTCATATAATCAATCCCCGCATTTTGGAAAGATCTTTTTAGATTTGAAAACTTGACATGTGTTTTGCAATTTATGGTATTATTTATATCAGTACATTATTTTGAAAAAAAAAAAAAATTTTTTACAGAAATTTCTTAAATTATAATTTCTTTTCAGGTCCTACATTTTTTATTCATGTCTTTGAAAATTCTTATAAAGTTAAAACTTTTTTTTTTTTTTTATTTATTGATTGGAAGTAACATTTGACAGAATCAAGATAGCTAGATCACCAGAAGACTACCAATTATTTTAAAAGAAAAAAAAAAAAAAAAAAAAAAAAAGATGCTGGCAAAATCTTGTGAACTCATGTCATTATATTCATTTTAGATACTTAGAAACCGGAACAAAGTCTGATATGTCTGCTAGCAGACTAAAAAACCAAAATTAAAAAAATAAAAATGAAGTGAAAAAGAAAATATTAACAAATTATTATTAAAGACAAGAACAAAGAAACAAAGAATGGGGAGAAGGACAAGGAGGACGAGCAAGGCGGAGGAGGACGGGGGACAGAGAAGGCGGAGATGTAGATGGAGGAGAACCAAAAAAAAAGAGGAAAAGGAAGAGGGCAAAGAAAAGGAGAATGTTAATAGCATTATACTTGTGAAGAAAATGCAACAGAACATAGCATGGAATAATTGTACATTCAAGCAACAGCAAAAAAAATCCTTTTTTTTTTTTTTAAATCAACTTTTGCTTTTACTACATCGTAAAAAAAAAAAAAAAAAAAAAAAAATTCTCTGTAAAAATTCTCAAATGCTATAAAATAAAATAAATGAAAATTAAGATGTCTTTCCCTCATTTTCCCCTTATAAAACTTTTCTACCTTGACATGTTGGGGCAGGGGAATTGGAAATATATGATTGTGAAAAGTGATATCTAATAACGAAAGAGAACAAAAGAAAATACTAAAGAATGAGAAAAAGATCTTGCCATAGGCAATCAATTAAAATCATCACCCACAATGTTGGACAAGTGCAGCTTCTATGGATTTATGGCGGAGAATACGGAAATAAGATACAGACAAAATCAATATGACAATCATCTTCCTCCACTTCCACTTATCCATATATAATCAACCTTGCAGGCTAACACGGAGACAATTAGCTTAATCTGAATATAACACAAACAAGAACAACCACGATAACCAAATGGCCATTATCAGTCCTATATTGCAGTGAATGCTGGACAATCTCTTCAATGATGAAGAAACTTAAAGCAACAGAAATGTAGTTCTACAGAAGGATGCTGAGAATACCATGAACCAAATATGTGAGCAACAACAAAGTTTTAGAGAATATGTAAGCAAAAAGAAAACTTATACTTAACATCAAGAAGAGATGGAAAGAGGGCTTGGAAAATCTGATACTCACAGGACAGACTGAAGACAAGAAGGACAGAGGAAAACAACACATGACATACTTAGTGAGCTTGAGTAAATGGATGGTGGAACAAAGTTTAGGAGAAATAACAAAAAGACAAAATTTATTAATCGCTATGAAGGACAGGAAATTGTAGAGAGCCATGATCGCCTACATTTTGAAGGAACATAGCACCTAAAGAAGTATATGCCACTAAAAAAAAAAAAAAAAAAAATAATTCTTTCAACCATCCTATGTTTTGACCACTAAACTGCACGTAAAATTACTGTCTGAATTTTTTAAATGAGGACTTGTCTTTCTCTACATTACTTGCATGTGGACTATTGACATCTCTTTTGTTGTTACCGCAACATTTTGGC